GATATGATTAATTACAGGTTCATTAAAAATATTTTCTTATATTAAAGGTGTTTTTATATTAAAATTAAACAAAATTAACATTTTCATGATCAAACAAATTGAACTTTAAATACTTTTTCATGAGTAGACAAATTAAACTTTAAAGACCTTTTCATGATCAAATATCCAAATTTTTAAATCTTTCAAAATTTTCAAACTTAAAAAAAAAAAAAAAAAAAACTTAAAACGAGGCTTAAGTAGATAAACAAACTAAATAGTTTCTCATAAAAAATCTATATGAAAATTTTCGGGAAAATAATTCAAACAATCAAAATTAAGTTTCTTATTGATGCAATTTGACAATGTATTAAAACAGTTTAGATGGTTTTAATATTGCTGGCTCATCATTTCTCTGCTACTCATATTTTAGGCCAGCGGACGGAGGTACTAGGTTTAATTGCTTGAGCTTAAGTAACTAAACTTTGATTACATTTATTTATAAAAAGATTTATTTAAATTATTTTTCATACAGTAAAAAAAATTATTGTTGTCAAGTATTACTTTCACTATGAATTTAATACCCTGATTTATTGTACTCTGGTGGCATCTTCAATTTTTATTTGGTTAAATATTTTTTTTTTTTTTTTTTAGTTTTTTAAATGCAAATTTTTTATGTTTGTTATAATTTTTTACAAGAAGAAAATCGTTTTTCATTGCAAAAGGTTTATTATAACTTTTAATTATAAAAAAAATTTAAAAAGTTAAAAAAAAAAGAGTGACAAAAGATTCGATTGTAAACTTTTTAAGTTTAAAAATGTGAAACTAAAATATTTTACATAAAAAATTAATATTTCTATTATTATATATTTACATATTTACAATTTTTTTTTTTTAATAATTTAAGCTTTAGATAGAGGTTTTTTTTAATTTTTTGTACTTTCATAATAGAAAATGTCAGTCAGATATAAAGCTAAATTTTAAAAGTGGTTAAAAGACAATAACTATAAAAAATTTTATTTGGTTAAGTATTATGTTATTATGTTAGATATGTTTGATACTCCTTTTTACCATAATTTTTTTTTTATTTAATATAATTTTGTAATACATTTGTTTTTTTAAACTTTTTTAATTATCACTTATCATAAAGTTGAGAATTTTAAGGAAGTTTTGTGTGAGACATCAGATCTTGATCAGTTTGTTAACCTTCAAACACATAGTACATATAACATTCAAAAATACATTTCTTTTTTATTAACATGTATTTTCAATGTGTTTGCATCCAGATCTATAACATATAAAACTTTTAAACATACAGCAATCATCTAGGTTATATTAAAAATTCAGAATATATTTTGCAAAAAAAATTTAATAAATGTTAAACAATGCAGAATAATTTATTTTATAAATTTAGCATTCGGCTGGTGGCTTTCTCAACTTTATGATAAGTGATAATTGAAAAAGTTAACAGAAAAAAGGTATTACAAAATTATATTTTTAGAAAAAAACTTATAGCAAAAAGGAGTAGTTGAAAGAAAGATATCTGGAAATAAAAAAATCATCAAACATACTTAACATAATAACATAGTACTTAACCAAATAAAATTTATAATAAAAAATTATAATAAAAAAAACTGATTATGATAAAACCATTGCTTGTTTGCAAAAGTGAATAATACCTAAATAATAACTAAAATTGGTTTGTTTTGATACAGTTGAAACTAAAAACTAAGGACTAAAAAATTTTCTAAATAGATTTAAATACACAATTTAAAGTATTTAATTTTTAAATGTATCATTTAGTTTACTAAAAAACCCTTAGATGTAATTATTCAAAAATAAAACAACTGAGAATCATGGGAAGTTTGTTATTAATCCGTAAAACCTTTCAAATAAAAAAACTGCAAGGTTATTTACAAACTATATTTCTTCTTGTCTAAGCAAGCATTTACAAAATTTTGTGGACAATCAAAAATCACTGGAGAATCAAATATCACAAGGCTAAAAGATATTATTAGCTAAATATTATTGTTTATTGAAAAGTTTTTAATAAAAAAAGATTGTTTTAAAGTATGCAAATTACTAAATATGCCAACTATTTATAAAGCATATTATTTGCATTGTGAATAGTTCAAGTTTGAATTTTTACATCTCATTTAAAGATAGTCTCATATTTCATGCTTTATAACGAGTCCAAGAAGTTGGAATTCAGAAAGAATTTTCGTACAATCCCAGAAACATTGATAAAAGAAGATTCTGCATTTCAGAATCCTATTAACAGTTTTAAACACAATCTACCAGTCTTATACTTGTATTACATACTACATATATCTACTTTTATTTAACTAATGAAAAATTGAAAAAAGCTGAAAAAGACAACTTGGTTTTTGAGCTTGATTGACAATTAGGTATTAGAGATTAGAAAAAGATTAAAGAGTTGTTATAGTTTAAAATGTGGATGAGGCGATTTGCGACTGATATGAGAACAGTTCAGTAACAAAAGTTTAGTAACAAATCAGCCTTTGAAATGGAATAAAAAATGATTTTTTTTAAATTTATATAAAATTTACTTTATTCAAAAGATAATCTTCTGGCATATTAATTTAAATATGACTTCTGGCATATGACCCCCATGACTGGCTCAGATGTAGTCTAATCTGGAGGTCCAATTTTCAATGACTTTTCCAATATTTGTGGCCTTACATTGAAAATAACACAACAAACATTGTGCTCCAAGTGGTCAATCGTTTCGGGCTTATCAGTGTAGATTAACGACTTCACATATCCTTACAGGAAATAGTCAAACAACATTAAATTGCACTTTTTGGAGGCCAATTCACAAGTCTGAAAGATGAAACTATGTGGTTACCAAATGTTTCCTTCAATAAATTGTGGCATGAACTGTGTGATATGTTGCGCCATCTTATTGAAACCACAGTTTTTCACATCATAGTTGTTCAATTGATGAACAAAAAAGTCAGTAATCATGACTCTATAATGGTCACCATTGACTGTAACGTTCTGGCCAGCATTGTTTTTGAAGAAGTACAGACCAATTATTCCACTAGCCCATAAAGCACACCTAACAGTGGATGTAACAGTGACTCAATATAAACTTGAGGATTATCATCACTCCAAATATAAAAGTTCTGTTTATTGACGTATCCATTCAGCCAAAAGTGAGCTTCATTGCTAAACAAAATTTGGTTATGAAAATCTGGATCAAGGGCAATTTTGTTTTTGAGCCCATTCACTAAATCTACACTTTGCTAAATGATTAGATGGATACATATTCAATTCCTGTGCACGATGGCAGATAGACTGATCTGATTCTTCCTCTATGCTACACTATACAGCAGCAATGGCTTTTTCTGTACACACTGTACTATGTCTCTGTGGATGTGTACTATCATTTAGAGTAAACATGCAAAAATGTTCCATAGTTAATCAAGTTAATTGTGCAGATGGACGATTATGTTGACCCTAAAACGGGTATAGTGCGCAATACATACTTCAAACAGAACATTAATTTTAAAAATAAATTTGCACAATTTGGAAGCAATGTTCAGGCGTCAGTCCATTTATGTTGAAATGCCAAACTAAACTGAACATAAATCACTTGACAACTGACAAAATGGTTGCCAGTTTAAAAAGTGTTGCTAACTTAAAGTTCTATACCTCTAAAAAAAACACCCTTTATTTCTCTTGCATAAATAAAACAAACATTTGAAAAAATTTCTGAAATCTCTCAATATTTTTAAACTTAACCAATTGTTTTACTAATCTAATAAAAAATTTTCCTTAAAATAAAACAAACAAACTAATAAATAAAAATTTAACTGGAAATGTTTGTTTATTGCTTTTTTTTAAATATATTTTGCCGCTTAAAAAATATTACAATAACCAGATATGTTTTACAATTTTTTACATTAGCAACAGTATGATCTTTAGAAGATCATGAGGATCTTATCATGAAACACTAAACAATATATAGTCAAATTTTGAAAAGAAATACAATGTTTGTAGTGAAATAAATACAATTTTATGCCAAAAATTTAAAAAGATAAATTGTTAAACAAAACAATATACAGCAAAACAATTAAAAATAAATGAAGATATTTTCAATTAAAAATATATATTTTTTAAGTTTCTGTTTGAATAAAGCAAAAGTCAATTTTGTAGGAAAATCTTCAAAAGTTTTGAAAGAAACCTACTTTTTTTTTTTAAATTTTAATATACTTTTTTTTCTAATAAAATATTGAACTCCCAATTTAAGATCATATTGAACTCCCAATTTAAGATCATGATAAACCCCTACCACAGGTAGGGGTTTATCATGATCTTAAATTGTATATGTGTTGAGAAACTGCAAATTTTACACATTCATACCTTAAAAGAAATCATCCATAAACTACTTATGGAAATCATCCATAAACCATAAGAAATTATTTGAAAAAATTACCCACAATTCTCATTTTTTAACAAGCAACTTAAGAGATATATATTCGGTTAATTAACTTTAATTATAGAAATCAAATAAAGTGGAACCACAGTACACAATACTTTGGTGCCGTTCAGAGAAAAATAAATAATAAGTATAAAATAAAATATTATTTATATAAAAATTATAAAAATATTAAAAAAATAACAAGTATAAATTTAAAAAATCATTTATAATACAAAAACAGAAAAGAAAAATGAAAATTTTTGTACACTATTATGTTAGACCCAGAATAATTGGAACAATTAAAATAATAGAACTTATATCACAAATACAAGTTATAGAACATTTAGAAATACAAATTTGTAGAATAATCAAAGCAATCATTTAAAAACTTCTTTATCAAAAACATTTTCTTTATTCATGCAAAATATTCTAAAAAATGTTAATACTTCCTGTTATAAATATTTAAGCTATATGTTAAAATTTTCCTGCAAAAAAGTTACTACTCAAGACTAAATTTATGGGAAAACAATATTAGAGATTTTTGAACATCAATTTTGAGTTGATAATCATATTAACAATAAAAATTTACAAAAAAATTATGCAGATAAAATTACTATAATTTACAATAAAATTGTGCTGTTTTTAAATATTTTGAAAAAATTTAAACTTACAAAAAGCTATACAATTATATAGCTGTTCAAAAAAACTCTTGTTCATTTCAATATACAATGGGGAAAGAAAACATGTTCATTCCATAAAAATTTTCACTTTCCAGAATCATTTAATAAAGGAGCAGGACTTTCCATATTTCCATATTCCATATTTTCGCATGCTTCTCAACTTATAACTATGTATATTTGGACTCACCCTAATATATATATATATATATATATATATATATATATATATATATATATATATATATATATATATATATATATATATATATATATAAGAAAAAAACATAAACAAAAATTTAAAAACAAAATCAAAATAGTAAACAAAAGGAAAAAATGAGAAAAGAAACAAGACAATAAAAAAATAAACTTAAAAGAAAAAAACATTCGAAAATGGAAAAATTTAAAATAAAAAAAAACATTCGAAAAGTGAATGAAAATATTTAAAATAAAATATAAAAATCATCAATCTCTGCTTTTGAAGAAACAAAAAGAATAATTTTTAAAATTTAATAATTTTTTTAATTTTTATTAATTTTTTGGGGATGATATATGTTTTGCGGAGCCTTATGATAAGATTTTGTTTTTTATTTGAATATTTTCATTTATTATGAACACTCTATACTTTTTGTGACTGAATGTGTGTGTGTGTGTGTATGTGTGTGTGTGTGGTGTGCACCCCTCAGTATTAGGGTCAGCATTCAGCAACGCCGACCTAAAAGTGTTGAACTCAGCAAAAATTTGCAGAACTCAATTTTTATGTTTTATGGTTTCTCCTTTATGTCAAATTTTTTTATGAAGACCTCTAACAGTTTGAGGTTGGCAATTTATTGCGAACCTCATTAAGAGTTCTAATTACGAGGGTTGGTGTGTGTGTGTGTGACACTTTTTTATTTGTGAGTATTATTGCAAAAAAAAAATTTGCTCATTTATTGTAATATTTTAAAGAAATATTTATAGTACTTTTGTTTTTATTATGATTATTAATATTAAGATTATTATATTTATTAAATCATTGTTACTTTATTTGCAGTAATTGTTTAGTTAAATAGGTTCTTACATTTACATGGTAGGTTGTTACATTTTGTCAGTATATAACTGTTTGTAACTATCCTGGGTGCGTAATATTCAATTATTGTTTTAAAATTTGTTTATTAATATATGATTTTTTTAATACTTTTATAATTGTTATCATTAAATTTATCATCATTGTTAATATCATTATTATTTGTATAATTAATATTCTTTCATGGTATTTACTTATGATTAGTTTTTAACTATTTGTAAATCACCTCGATTGTACGATCTTTTAACGAAATATATTGATTAAAGGGTGTCGAAAAGAACTTCTTGGAGCACCTTAATAAACACTTTAATAACAGCAAGATAAGAAAAAAAGAAAACTTTTTTTTGTTATTATTATTGTTATTATCACTTTTATTATTATTGCTATTATTATTATTGCTATTAATGATATTATTGTTATTATTATTATTATTATTACTATTATTTTATAAATCACCTACTGCGAATATGTATAAAAGATAAAGATTTAAAAGATTGTTCTCTGTTGCATTTCAACATTTAATTGTACCTAAATTTAAAAGCAGCTTCAGGAATTTAATTTTCTTTTAATTTTATTCTTGTGCAGTGTTTTTAACCTGCATTAAGTTTTTCGTACTTAGTTTATAAATTTTACATTCCTATATTGCCACCAGAAAACATGGTTCTACTCCATAATTTTGACAAAAATGAAGTATTTGTATCAAAATTCTTGAAATATAACCACTCAATAAGCAGAAATGACCAAAACTCGTCAGAGAACACAGGTATGTACAGTTTGTTCTCTTTGACACTGTTACTCCATTCAAATCTACACTGACATCAGTGTATATACGAATGGAGGGGCCAACAAGCACATTATGCATCAACTAGTTAAGGTTTGTTTGTAATCTATATGATAGGTAAATCTAATATTTCATCAAAACTTCGTTGAACACAACCATAATTAGCATTATTTTATTTTAGTTTCCAATAGAAACTGACAATGCCATGGTAAAAAATAGACCATTTCAAGGTAGAAAAGAGCCAAGTTTAGACAACTCAAACGTTGAAAAAATATATAATTAAAGTTGAGTTCAAATTGTTGAACTTAAAAAATTTATTTAACGATTAATTATCTTAAAACTGTTTGAAAATTAGATAGAGGAATTAGAAAATAATATATCTAATTCATTTTTGCTTTCAGAAGTGAATTACAAAGAAAATTAGAAAAGGGCGTTTTTTTGAAAGAAAAATGAAAGAGAACTGTCTGAAAAGAAAGTCACTAATTAGAAAAGAGTTATGTTAGTTGCAGAAGGAAACATATACCTAAACAATAGATCAAAAATTTCAAAACTGTTTAAATAATTGTTTTCACAATTGCTCAAAAAATATTTTTGCAGAACGTAATGCATTATTTAAATCATGTTTTTCATTATCTCAAAATGTGAATTCCACCAAATAGAATTTTGTTTTTTCCTACATTTTAATATAAAGAGTGACAAAGTATTTGTAAGTATCATTGCAAATTTATTTATTTATTGTTATATTTTATTTAAAAATTTGTCGATTTATTGTTATATTTTATAGAAATATTTATAGTACTTTTGTTTTTATTAGGATTATTGATATTAAGATTATTATATTAATTAAATCATTGTTACTTTTTTTTAACAGCCTTAAATATCAATACATATAATACATATATCAGGGGTGTACACTCGGACTTTTGGTTAGTCGCCAGAAGGGCGACTGAAACTAACCAGTTTGTTAATTTTAGTCGCCCGCCAACATTTTGAGTCGCCCGTTGCCATTTTTTTTATTAATTTCCAATTAGCAAAGTTCTCGCATGTTTTAGTCATTTTTTGTTATATGGCTAAATGTGCACTAGAAACAATATGTGCAAATAAAAGTAATATTGAAAACTATTAATAAAATTCATTTTTCTACTTTCAAAAAAAAACACATGCCATTATATTTTTAAACTTTATTTGAGCGCTCATTTTATAAAAAAATAGACGTTTGATTACAACAAAAAATTGTTGACAAATATAAAAAACAATGTACAAATACTTTAAAACCCTATGCTTTTAATGTGTTGTAATTATTACGATCTTATTTGTTACAAGAAAAACTATTTATATTTTGAAAGGTAAAAAACATTCAAGATTCAAAATTAATATATATAGTCAATTCAAATCAATTGTTACAGCTCTATCACTATCATCATCGCTACTAGCAAAAATCTGTATTTTCTCTGACTTTTTAACTGACACAACTGGAGTTTTGTTGTCCATGAAAAACTTTTTTGATTGATGCTAGTTTTATTTTTTCGTAATGGTTTTAAAAGCCAGTGTTTAATGGCTTTTATTGGATCATATAATTATATTTCTGGACCATCAATCTTGATGCGCAATCGCATTGTTAATAACTTGTTACTGACTCATGTTCTTTGAATTGATTTAATGTTTTTAATTGCGCTAAAGCCTTTTTCCGCGTCTGCCGAACTTAAGCTATGGCAAAATAAAAAATCAATCAGAGAAAAAAGATTAGCGAATCTATCTGGTTTGATATTAGTCGCTATTTGTGACCAAAATAGTGGTGGAAATGATTTTGAACTTGCACTTGTCCAAGTTGCTATTATTTTCTTCAATATTATTAACTCTGATAAAATATTTCCAACATCTTCTCGTTTATATTCGAGTTGTTGCAAAGCATATTGTTGTCAATAAGGGCTTTTATGTTATTGTCTAGCATGTTTTTATGTAACTTTTTCTTGTTTTCAGCCGTGAAAAAGTCGCTCTCCGTCCATTCAACTGTGTTAAGCAACTCGTCCGCCTCAGCAAAGACATCTGATACATTTGAACATCGTTTCAAAATGCACTTTTGCATGGATGTAGCAATAAAAACTCGATCTTTATATTTTATCACTTCATGCAAATTTACAATACCATATATCGAGCGCTTGTTCCAGTAAAAACCAGAGTCTGGATTTTCTTCGAATCTTTCTAAATTGCTCGAGCGAAGACTTAACTTCATATGTTGAAACATTTTTTTTTTGTGCTAACCTAATAAAAACATAAACAATATTATTATTGGTATATTCTTAAATTTCTAAGTAAACAATTTATTATTTGTTACATAAAAGTTTTAATTTAAAAAGCAATAGTGTATTTTTATTAAATACTATATAGTTAAGTTATATATGTAATTAAATATTTGAATTTAGTAGTTAATTCAATATATAATTTACAGCGACAAATTATGTATTTTATCAATATACAAATAATAATAATTTTTATATTTTATTTTGAAAAATTAAATTTTAATCAATAAACGTTTAGGAAATAATAAATTAGAAAAAAATTTTTATTCTGAAAAAACTCTAAGTATAAGAGCAACAAAATATAATTATAAAATTCAAATGAATTTGTTCTTTCAAGAAAATTTTAATAGACTTTTAATTAAATAGTTCAAAAAAGAGCGCAACAAAATCTGTTTATAACGAAGTTTTTATCTTTTGTAAACATTTACTTTGATTATTGAATGGTAATTATCGCAAAGTTTATACTTCTAAAACGTTTAATAACAATAATATTAGTATATATTACAATAAACTCACATATTACCTATTATATATACTTTTTTTTGTTGTTTATTTATAAAGCTTATAACTTTTGTTTGTGTTGAATTAATACTCTGAAAAAACCTTACTAACGCATCTGAAAAAATTGTCATTGCTCTACATCAAGAATATAGATCGCCGCCGACATTAAGTGCTGATCAACCAATTTCTTTGCAAAGAACTTAGCCTTTGATTTCTGTGTTGCGCTGTAGTTGCTTTCCAAGCTGATAGTGGTATAACTATGAATATGCGCTTTTAGACCATTGAGAAGATTCTCCAACGCATTTACCATTGCGCAACCCATCTGGTACCATTAACTCGTATGACACTGCATTTAGCCTAAAAATTAAAATACCAAATTAAATAAATATAAAATTGCCTAAATTAATCAACATAAATTTTGATTGTTAATACTACCTAAAAATAATAAGTAAAAATGCATTAAGATATTATCAATATAACAAGACTTAATTCTTAAAATACCTTTTACACCATAAACTTTGCATGCGTTACAATAAACCGATG